TAATAAGTAGTGACTACAAACCACTAGCTACTAAATACTATTTAGAACCTGCGAACTACGAACTACGTAGTATGTACTGCATACGTCTAGCTACTGGCAACAGACAGTTAATTTCGCTCGGACCACTATTCATTACTAAATACAAGCTACTACGTACGAACTACCAACTCCTAACTACGAGCTGCTAGCTGCGAGCTGCTGCCAATTTGGTCGCCACTTGTAGTTCCAATGACCAAGAAGAGTTACTTCTCCGGGCAAAAGTAGCCAGACTTATGGGAAACCTCTGTGGCGCCTTAAGGTCAGCTCATTGCGATTTGCGAAAGTCAGTTTTGAGAGAAGTGTGAGGATCCTCGATGCGGTCTCACCCCGAGACCTAACCCTTTCCGAAGGATCCCCAGGAATCAACAAGGATTCGGTAGTACACCCGGAGAACAAACCCTTTTCCCGGAGACTGAACCCTTCTCCTGGAGGAAAAACCCCTCGCCCTCCCCCCCCCCTCCCCCACCCCCCTCCCCTCCGACTCTCTCCCCCTCCCCCCCCTCCTCCACCCATCCCCTCCCTCCTCGCCCCTCCCCCCTCCCCCTCCCTTCTCACTCTTCCCCCCTCCCCCTCTTCCTCCCCCTCCCCCTCCCCTCCCCCCTCCCCCCTCTCCCTCCCCTCCCACTCTTCCCCTCCCCCCGCCCCCCCTCACCCTCCTCCTCCCGCCCCCCCCCCTCCCCTCCCCCTCCCCCTCCCCCTCCCCTCCCACTCTTCCCTCTCCTTCCCCCCCTCCCCCTCGCCCTCTTCCGGCCAGGCGAGGCGGCCCCTCGCCGCCACGGCGGTGTCCGCCCCGAGATCCGGGTCAGAGCGCGCTCCAGGCGAGGTCCAGGGGTAGTGTTAGGTTTAAGTCGGGCATGTCCTTCTACAGGGGGGGTATTCAAAAATAGCCGAACGACAAATAGTCCGGGGACCAGTTGTTGACTATTTTTAGCAGTTTGGGGGCATGTTGGGGGTATTTTTATTTTCCAGCCAAAATTCCCCTGTAGGGGGGCCCGCCCGCCTTAATGTTAGGTCGGGCATGTCCTTCTACAGGAGGAATCCATAGTAGAAATAGTATGGGCACGTGGTTTAACAAGTGTTGATTACTTGTCCGCAGGTAGGGCCATGTGTTTTGTCACGTTACGTTTGTTTGATGTGTTGCTATTGTTCTGACAATTTGTTTTTTCTTCCAAAATCCGCATGTAGGAGGACATGCCCGACCGAAGGGTAGTGGGATGACGACAAAGTGTTGTGGCAACCTCTCGATTCAACCGCTGGAGTCGGCGACGCCGCGTAGGCGGATGGCCATCAGAAGTCGCTCCCTTGCGCGCAAAGATGTTAGGATAGCCACAACATCGTGCACTGCGATCTGTCGCCATCCTACGACGTGCACGCGGAGCCAGATGGCGAGCAAGTGTAGCGAGATGGCGATCTCCAATCGTTCAGCTCAATCGTTGGGGACGGCTTAAAGCCCAGCAAGGTCCAAGTGCCGTGCCTGCGAAGAAGTCCTGTCTGCGGATCCAGCCGTGGCGACGAGGGGGCCACCCAGAGGCACGCGTGAGACGGAAGGGGAGGAGAAGGACGAGGGACAGGTGGATGGGGAAGAGGATCATGAGAAAGAGTGCGCCGAGGAAAACGCGGTGGAGGAGGAGGAGGAGGAGGAGAAAGAGCAGGAGGATGAGGTGGAGGAGGAGGAGGAGGAGGGCGAGCTTTGTGTCCCCGAGGCGGCAGGGATGACGACCGCCGTGGGGGCGGCCGCGACTACGACGACCGCGGAGGCGACCGCAGAGGCCGTTGTCGTCGCCGGGCTCTGCCCTTGCCGCTGCTGGTCGTGCGTGGTTGCCTAGCCTCAAGCAAGGCAGAGACTGTGTGCCTCGAGGGACGGCGCTCCCGGAGAAGATAGCAGCAACCGACACCCGGGGAGGATAGCAGCAACCGAATGCGCTCACTCGTGGGCACACCCTGGAAGCTCTTCCAAGAAGTAGGATGACAAGGGGGAGTTGCCGCGTGGAGCGTCACAGGTGGAGTGCCACCCGCCAGGACATCGGACCTCGGTTGCGGTTCGTCTCGCGCATGCGGGCAAGGCGAGGCTGCACGAGATCCTGCAATCCGAAGGCGCATCCTCGGGGGCAGCGTTGAGGGTGGAGGGTAGGCTTATGGGGGGGGACGCATCGAGCCCCGATCGCCCAGTCACCGCCGAGGGGGGCCCGATCGCCCACCCCGCCCAGGAACGTGCGGTCGCGCTATCGGGGGCCTCTCGCCGATCCATCGGCGACGGATCGCCGACTCCAGGTCCACGCCGATCCATCGGCGACGGATCCCCCCACCGTGGGTCGGTTCCACCCCGATCGCTCTCCCACCGCAGCCTGGCCAGTCTGCTTCCACCCCCCCCTCGTCTTAGCATCGCTCGGACGTGTGCATTCTTCCTTCGGCGAGGACCATCGAGGAGCATCCTTGATCATTTGGCGAAAAAGCCACGCAGGAAACCGAAAAAAGCACAGGGAATGGACGTCCGAGCGATGGCGAGTCGTGGGTCCGCCGCCGTCTCGCAGGCGTCGCGTGGCTGTCCCACGTCCCACCTCGGGCCTCTCGAGGCGTGCTGCTGTTGTCACCGCGACTGTCCCGTGCTCTTCCCGTGGTTGTGTCGCGGTCGTCCCGTGGTTCGACAGTTTGTGATCTTTGGGTCGCACGAGGGGGCGTGAGGATAACCGCGCTTCGCGTATCGCGGCACGCGAAGGCCTCGGCCGCGCTTAGTTGTCGCCTCGCCCGTCGCTCTGTTTTTTTTTTTTTTTCCCGCGTTTATCTTGCCCAATCCGCCTCGGCTTCTTGCATGCGCACCCTGGCAGTACTGTGCCCCAGCTTGCTGTTAATTAGTCTGTGGCGCGCCCCGCTTCGACTTGACACGCCGCCGGCGCTTCCGCCAGCGGCCGTTGACTAAAAAGTATCGCGGCACGCCTTCCTGGTGGTGTCGTTCCTGGGATGCCCGCGCGCTTGCCTGGCCACCTGGCAGCTCCCGGCAGCTCCTGCAGCCTCAGCCCTCGGCGCAGCTCAGCGTCCACCGGCGGTACCTCTGCAGCCGCCTGTGCGCGGGCTAGTTTGCAAGTACATCGTCCTCGGCACCGCCTGATTCAGGGGGCTTTGCCCCATCCTGACCTTGATGTGAGGCCCCTCCTTCTGCTTTTCTCTCGTTAATTCAAGCTGTACGCGGCCCGCTTAGCTTCGACCGGAAGAGGTGCGCTCTCGACCCGCGGATAAAAAAAGTGCGCGCTAGGTCAATTAGTTCTGCTCGTAGCCCGAGCCGACCTGTGATGCCGCCGGCGCCTTCGCCTGCGGGTGCGGCAAAAAAATCGCGGCACGCGTTACAGTGGACATCTGTGGTACGGCTGCGTTGCTTCATCAAGGCTGCCCTTGCTTTCCTGCTGTTTCGGCCCATCCTGGGCCAATGTTGACGTCCAAGGAGCTCCAATTGGTGAGCGGGGCTTCCAAGGGTCTTGCATTCCTACCTTGCATCCTGACTACAGTTTTTGACAGTCGAGAATGTTGAAGAGGTGCCCTTCTCCAGGGCGGCGCTGCGTAGGCGCGAAGATAATCGCGCACCTCGGGGTGCGACCCGCGAAGCGAGGTGGCCTAGACTGGACAGTTAGGCAGGAATCTTAATAGAGTTGGGATATATATATATATATATATATATATAACGATATATATATATATATATATATAACTGTTGGCAGAGCTCGGCGGGGGGGAACGTGCATTGCAATTCTCACCTCGATCGCTATTGGATCTGGATTCCGACTTGCCCGTCGACCGCAGTTAGGTCTGCGTGTAGAGTTGTACTGCGAAGGCCCCACGGCCGATGCCGCCGACCCTGTAGGCAGCGACGGCGAAGACAATGGAGGTAGAGGAGTCCAAGATGCCCCCAGATGGCTCGAAGATGGCGACAGATGCCTGCAAGGTCGTCCGAAGACAGCTCAAGAGGCCTCCTCCATGGTCTGGGAACAGTTCAAGAGAGTGCCAAGATAGGCAAAGAGCGCCCTCAAATGACCCGAGAGGGTTCCAAGACGGCGTCAAGCGATGTCAAAAGCGCCCGCAGAGGCTGTCAAGAGTGCCGCCAGAAGCTGCCAAGAGAGTCTAAAAATGGCGAAAGGTCTCTAAGGAGCCTTCAGATAGGCTGAAAAGGGCCCTCAGACGGCCCCGGAGGGCCAACGGAGCCCCAGGACGCAGGAGGATCAGAGGCGGGGGGCTGCGTATCCGAAGGGGGACCCCCCCCCCGGGAGTTGCCCCGGGACCCCCCCTCCCAGGCGGGGAAGGGATCAAAGGGCCCGCAGACGGCCCGGGAGGGCCAACGGAGCCCAAGGACGCAGGAGGTTGAGAGGCGGGGGGCTGCGTATCCGAGGGCCCCCCCCCCCCGGGAGTTGCCCTCGGACCCCCCCCGCCCGGTGGGGAAGGGATCAAGGTTAGGGGCTTCCCTTCGACTGACGGACGACTTTGTTCAATTTTTGTGTGGACTTGTGTAGGGAGCCCTCGGAAAGCAGAAGAGGCGACGACGCTGTGGGGAAGACGGAAGAGCCTCTCCCAAACGCCGACAGGGTCGGCGGATTCCGAATTGCATTCCGAATTACATGTTGACGAACATTATGCTTGGAATTCCGATGTGCATTCGTAAGCGCACTCAGTCTTACATTCCAACATGGCTAGATTGGGATTTCGATGTGCCTTCCAAACGCTATTGTACTCGGATTTCGATGCGCGTTCCGATTTGCAGTCGATTTGCTGTCCATCTTGAATTCCGATGCGCGCTCGCAAGTGCATTCGGAAGTGCATGCTAACTCTCCACTTACATATGCACTTCGACCTGCACCTCTACTTGCAGTTTGATCTGAACATCGACATGTATACAGCCGTTTCGACAAGCAGAGGATACGCAAGTAACAATTCACGGGGCAATCACAGGACAACCCGCTTGACAACCCACGAGACAGCCACGGGACAACCCGCGGGACAACCCACGGGACATCAGCCCACGGGATCATTACGGGACAATCGCGGGACAACCCACAGGACAATTGCAGGACAACCTTGGACGAACGACGGTGATGAGCAGCGCAACTTGAGCAGAATCGGTTGTACAAATTGGCCATCGCTACACTAGCACGTCGTCGCCCTCGCGAAGTTTCGCCTCGACCGCGCATGGCACGAACCAACAGCGAAACCGATGTGCCTGTTGGGGAAAGTCTACAGCCGAAACCGATCAGAACCAAACTCGAAAGCTAACGATAAGAGTGATATTAGTCACGCGTGCAAGCATGACAAGTTGGAAGACCAAGTCGGTCAAATTGATGGACGAGTCCGAAGAGGTAGAAGAGACATAATAATCTAGAATGTTTAGAAGCGTCAGATGACTTCTCGTATTGGAAAGGTCTTACGGCCGGTGCCGCCGACCCTGAAGGGGGACGACGACCACGACGGGGGCGTCGGCGGCGACGACGACGCTGACGTGGGGCGGAGTCTTCAGCGATGCTTGGTGGGGCCTCTTCGGAGCGCGCTCGTAAGCCTCTGGGGGGCAGTTTTGGGGCCTCTTGGGAGCATCTTGTGGGCCTCGTGAAGCTTCTTGGGGGTCCCTTCGGGCTTCCTCGGGGCCTCTTGGGGGCCTCTTGAAGCCTCGTGGGGGCCTCTTGCAGGCCTCTTGGGGGGCCTCTTGGGGCCTCCTGGGAACTTCTCGGGGCCGAGGGCTCGAAATGTTCGTTCGGGCTCCCGTGTGGCACTTTCTTAGAACCGTTTTGGCGGCCTCGTGGGTCGTCTGGGAGGCCTAAAGGGCTGTCTTTGGGCCCTCTTGGGTCGTTCTGGGGCCGTCTTGGAAACCTCTTGCGCCGATCTTGGTGGCATGTTGGGCCGTCTTGGGGCGTCGGGACGCCCAAAAGGCGAGAAGGCCAGAATCTTGCAACATCCTAAAGGAAGTAATTAAAGTTTGCCTGTTGGGGCCCTCTTGGCATGCTCTTGGAGGCCCCTTCGAGCGTCTTGGAAACCGCTCGGGCTGTCAGGAGGAAACCTTTGGCGTCTTGGAGCGATTGTTCGGCGATTCGGGGCCCTCTTGGATCGTCTTGGGGGCCTCTTATGCCGTCTTGGAGTTGCCTCAGGCCCCAGGACCCCCGGGATGGTATTCTAACCCTGGACCCCCCCAGGACCCCCCCCCAGGACTTCCCCAGGACCCCCCCCCGGCGGGGGAAGGGATCAAAGGGAAGGGTCTTCCATTCGACTCAATTACGACGTTCCTTAATTTCGGTTTCGTGTCGCGTTGGTTGGCTCGCTTGAGGAGGAGGGCCCAGTGAAAGGGGCGGAGCTGCGACGAGAAGGGCCCAGTGAACGGTATACGTATGGAATTTAGGAGATTCCCAAGAGTGAGGCGATTCAGCCATTTAAGAAGGGATATGCCTGTTTGAATTCGGCTAAGATCGATGAGGCTCAGATGCGATACAATGCAGAAGAGGGAGAATATTTGGAATCACTGCTCGCTAGCAGTTTGAACGGTTGGGCGTTTGACGGACTAGAAGAGTCGACTGGGTATGGTATCTCATCCCCTTCGGCCCATCCCAACACCGTGCCTGGGTTGTGGGTGTGAGGCCTATTGGATGTTCGTTGGGATATCGTGAGAGGCCTCTCGGGAGCATCTTGGAGGCCTCTTCGGGGCCGTTTTGGGGCCTCTTGGGACCTCTGTGGGGGCTTTTGGGAGCTTCTCGGGGCCTCTTGGGGGCCTCTTGTGGCCTCCTAGCTGGGCGCCTCTTGGGGCCTTCTGGGGGCCTCTTGGGGCGGAAGGCTTGGATTTTCGGTTCGTGTTCCCTGTCTTGGGCTCCTTTTCGGGCCGTCTTGGGCGCCTCTTGGGCCGTCTTGCGGCGCTCTAAGGCCGTCTTGGAGCCCTCTTGGAGGCCTCTGTAGCCGTTTTGGGGTGGTCTTGGGGGCTCTTGGGCCGTCCTCGACCTTCGGAAAGCCGAAAAGGCGAGAACGCGAGAACGCCAGAATCCTTCCAAGACCTATGGGAAATCAATGATTTGTGCCTCTTGGGAGGCCTCTTGGAGGCCTCTTGGGGCGACTTGGAGGCCTCTTGGGCCATATCGAGGCCATCTTGAGCGTCTTGGTGCGATCTTTCGGCGACTCGGGGTCCTCTTGGACCGTCTTGGGGGCCTCGCGGGGCCCTCCTGGCCCGTCGTCGGGCCCCTAGGGGGCACGCGGGAAGTCCCGTCAGATTTCGAAACTTGGGGTCCGGGCCACTTCTAAACTCTTAAGAACGGAGGGCTGAGAGCCCAGAGATTGGGCACAGGACCTGAGGACACGCCCCCTCCGTGACCACCGCGGCACGGTGGCGGATGTGGAAGGGTAGACGCGTCAGGGAAAGTGCGAGAAGAGCTATATGATCTTCATGGGTTAGAACCGTGAGACCGGATGTAATACTCTGATGAGTTCGAAGGGTGCGAAGACCGTGAGTAG